GGGCTTCATAAGAGAGAACACTTTAGGCCCCTTTAGCTTCTGATCTAAGCCTCAGGGCCTCTAGGACTCCACTGCATCTGTATATTGATGAGAATCTTTTCTCCAAAGTTTACGGTGGTTATACGAGATAACCTGAGGTGTGCTAACTCATACTCTAGAGGTGTACAGTAAATGTCGGCTTCCCCTCTCTCTCCTAGACCTTCCTTTTAAGAACTTCCACTAGGTTAGGAATAAGAGAACAGCTAATAATTTTAAGTTATATTAATTTTTGAGAAAGTGGAAAGGAAAAATTTTTTCCCTGATATTATCCCCATTTTGTTGATAGAGAAACAGAGACAAAGGACTGTTAAGTAACTGGGCCCAAGGTGACAGCTACTAAAAGGCAGTCCTCTTAACTGCCAAGCTATGTTAGTGGAGAAATTAGTTTTGGAAGCAAGTCTGTAGTAAATGGTTGTTGAATTGAATTTCAAACTCAGCTGTCTTTCTATTGTTTTCCTGTTAAAGTAGGTCGCAATCTTCTCTCTCCCTTTTATTTTTTGATTTTTGTCTTTGACTTTTTTTTCAATGTATATCATTGTGTTTTTATTGTAAATACCAAGTTCTCTTTAGGAGACTACATAGTATTGAAATCAAATAAATATATTCAATGTGCCAGGCAATGGGTGGACTGTAAGCCCTGTTATAGAGAGCAGTGGTGTTCAGACACTTAGAAACTGCAAATAGAAGCTGTAGGAACCTGAAAGTAGCGTGCGCCCAGAGGAAGTGAAGCCTCTGCTCAGAGAGCTGGGATGACTTGCTCCTGGTAGCTGGCCCCCACTGGGGGACAAGTCAGCCAGGGTCCAGAACCTGCCTCATGCACTTCCCTTGCCAATCTTACTCCCATTCTGCGCTTGGGGGTGGCTTTCCCCAGTTTTTCTTGGGCTGTGCCTTTATCACACAGAAGCCTGTGACCCCACATCCCTCTTTCTGTGGTTTTCCTTTTAGAGCATGGACACATAAAGCTGGCCCTGAGTTGAGGGCTCAGCTGGCATGTTAGCTAAAAGCTTCATGTTCTGTCTGGCCTGCCTTAGGTAAGACCTCATGAAGAGCCCAGGATTTTTTCATTTGATGTTTTGATACCTTAGTTCTTATGTTGGTGCTTTTGCTTTTAAGATTTCACTTTCTTTGCTCTGACATGTTTCTCAGTGCCCCAGTTTTCAACTGCCCTTTATTCAAAACCTGTTTCTATAGCACATTAAAAATATGTATGTTCCTATTGCTCTTTTTTATCATGAATGACAATTAATCCGATTACCTGAAAATAGGCTCCATTCTATTTTCCAAATTTATATTCATTTGGTAAGTTACTCAGGGATCTCCAGAGAAACAGAACCACACAGAACACAAAGAGAACAGAATGTGTGTGTTTGTCTACTCTCCACATCCCTTTTTTTCTGAGGCTTATATAAAAACATGTAAAGATATTTATTTTGAGAAAATGGCTCATGTGAGGTTTACTACGTCAAAAATCTGATGGGAAATGTCGGCAGGCTAGACTCAAGAAAAAGTTGCAGGGTGAGTCCGAAGGCAGTCTGCAGGCAGAGTTCCTTCCTGCTCAGGGGCGGGCAGCTTCTTCTCTCTAGACCTTCAACTCATTGTATGAGGCCCACATCAAGGAAGGCAATCTGCTTTACTCAAAGTCCATTGCTTTAAATGTAAAATCTCATCCAAACCCGTGTTCACAGAAACATCGAGAATAATGCTTGGCCAAATACTTGGGCACTGTAGTCCAATCAGGTTGACAGATAAAATTAACCATCATACTAACTGCTTTTCAGATTGGATGCTGCCGAGCAGTATTTTAGATGTTCATGGGCTGGCGGGAGAAAAAATAAAGAGGAGCAGCTGCTCAATGGTTAAATATATTTCTGACATGCCGCTCCCCTGTTGCCCTTCTCTCTTGGAGTGTCATAATTTACATTCATTTGTTAAAGACTCTGAAAATTCCTGAGGGCAAAAACACTGCATCCTGTGTGCAGGGGCTGCCCAGGAAGGCAGGACAGTCTTGTGTGTGTCTTCACTCGCCAGCCACCACCGCTGCCTGCACGTTAGTAGGAAGTGCAGCTGGGCTTGCTCCCTATAAATTGCAGATCCTGAACCCTGGTTCTCATATCTAAATTGCACAGAAATGTATGTCTAAGTACTAAAAATATATGAAACCAACTAATCCAGTGAAATAGGACAACCATTTTATGTTCAGGTGTCTGTGAGCTTTCGAATAACTTCAGGCAGAGCGGTTAAGGCACCTATGTCCTCGTGAGGCTGAGGGAGCAGGGACAGCGCTTGGCCGGTTAGACCACAGTTCTCTCCCTTGATAGCTCCTTTCCTCAACGCTCTTGCTGCTCTGCCCCATGCCACTTAACCTCCTTCTTCTACTACTTCACGCTCCTTCTCTGTTCCTGAGGGAGCTCCAATCAAAACCAAAATGAATTATACCGTAGAAATAGCAAGCTTTCATTGCTTGTATGTAATGCATGCTGTTTTCCTTTTGCATTTGATGGCTATGTCTTTCTCATCCTGTGCTGTGCGCCACCAGTGTTCTCTTTCCTTAATTAAACCACCCACAGGCTGGCATTATGTTGTGCATATGAAGTAGTGATCAAAGATATTATTAGCGGTGTATACACATATGCTTATTTAAGTTAACTGAGTTTGAAGAAGATATATCAACTGGAGGCATCCAGACTCTACTTCCTTGAACTACTGGCCCAGGTTAGATCCCTGACTCTGGCACTTGCAGGAGAGACAGCTGGCTGCATATTCTCCTCTCATTCCTGCCTTCCCCTCCATTTCAGGGAGGAGAAGAGGAGGCAGCATCCCTTGGTCTAACACAGCCTCTTCGACCCCTGCAGCAGGAACGTCCCAGCTGGGGCTGACACATCTGCACATGCTTGTTCCTTGTCCCCATCCAGTGGCTGTCATGTCCTGAACTCAAGGTAACTTCTCTGAATGCCGAGGACATGACTGTCATCTCATGAGGAACCTTCTTCCTCAGCTCTGTCCATTGTCTTGGACATTTTGGTATCAGTGAGGTTAAGTCACCCAGCCCGGTGGTTCCCAATGGCTCTCATTGCTGCACTGATGCAACTACAGTTAAAGCCGACACTGGAAACTACCTGGAACTCTTCCATCTCAGAACTTTAAAATTCCTCTGACTCATTGTAGCTTGTTTTTCTTGTACTTACTTCTTTAAACATGTGGATACTCCTAAATAGTTGAACACTTTATGCTGTTCTCAGAGGATAACTATTGTTACTTTCACTCTCCCTAATTCCAACATCCTCCAGGATATGTGAATAGTTAACTATCAAAGACTTACAATAGTGATATCAGGACAAAATCCTCTGTGGTGATGACGACCTTCAGAGACTACAGGCCAGAAAGACTAGGTTCACTGCCTTGCACTGCCTTCCTCCTCTGCCACACTTTCATCCCCAGGCTAGGAAGAGAGTGGGGGAGGTGAATGCTGTTTAGAGGACTAAGGGTGGTAGGTAGCAGGTACCAGAAGGGGGTAAAGTCTTCTGAGGCTTTGGGATGGAGGGCAGATGCTTTGGGCACTGGGTTGGGCCACATCTAGAGCTGGTGCTGGAAGGTGCAAAGACTGAGGCAGAGCAAGCAGCCCTGCCACCAGAGGCTGAGAGCGCAGCACTGAAAGGAGCAAGCAGGGGGCATGTGGCTTGTTGCTAGTTTGTGGCTCAGGACTTTAAATAAGAGCTGAAAGTAAAGTAGGGTTCCTCCTGGGTCATCCTGTATAATTCACTTGGGTAGAAGAAAAGGCATCAATACTGATGCCCTGCTCTGGAATCAAGAGTGTGCTGACTCTGGAACATTCTAGAGGCAATCTAGCAGGTTATGGTGTGGACTTGGTTATTTTGTGTGACTTTGGGCAAAACCTTTATGCCTCCTGGCCTCAGTTTCCTCCTTTGTAAGACTGAAATACAAATAGTAACTAGCTGAGAAGCATTAACACATGTCAAATGCCCAGGCCACTGTTTCTCTGCATTCCTTTTATTCTCTTAATGGTGGTGCCCCCAAAGCAGGCAGGTGATTGGGACTTGCTGAATGAGTCAGGCAACGTTATTTGATTGAAAAGACAGAAATAGACATAGAGAAGTGGGGTTTTGTTTTGTTTTAACAGGCATTGACACAGTGTTCAACACTTTCAAAACATCAATTTCTCTCACACTTTTAATGGTCATACAAATAGCTTTGGGCCCCTGGGAGAGGTAGTTGCCAGTGAGACATTGCTAGAAGGGCCAGAAAAGGTGAGTCTGGGAAGGCAGACTTCCCTGAGAGATAAGCAGGAGGCAGTGCATTTAACTCTCTGAAACTGGGGAACTGGAGCCGTGGAGGCGTGGGGAAAAGGCTCTGGAATTCCACCGCTCTGGGAGCCTCAGGAAGGGCCTCCCATGGGCAGAGCATGCAGGCAAAGCATTGGCAAAAACATTTGTTCAGTCCTGGCAGGAGGCTGAGACCAGCTTTCCCTGTTACTTAAAAAACACTAGATCTTTAGTTAATATGACTTAAGATACTTGGCATGGGGAGTGAAAACAATCAGAAAGAAAGAAAAAGCAAAACAACCTGGAAACCACAATCTAGTGCCTGGGGCTAAGGAGGCAGAAGGGAAATGTCAGAGTGGGATGTGCTACATTTCCACGCTGCACTACCGAGAGCGGGAGGCTGGCTTTTTTTCTGATGAATTGAACACCCCCACATAAAGAAACATCAAACCTTTCCAAACTCAAAACAGATCGCTGTTCTAACATCCCTGAGCAGCTGATGGAGACCTGTGAAACTCAAACAGGAAGCAGGAAAGCAACGCTCACTCTTGTTTTGGATTCTGGTGTATAATCCCTGTCTCTATTAGAAACCCCTCCTGCCTTGTAGTCTGAGCAGGGGGGTGGCCAACATGTCAAGGCAGGGGTGACTCTTGGCTCCCATAAGTTTGGGCCACTTCTTACCTTCTCATTTTGGCTACATGGTACCATTGGTGGAGGAAACCATAGCCAATGGGTGTTTGCTGGCTGTGGTCTGACTGTCTTCTTGGTACCAGCATGCCTTTCCTCTCCACTTGAGTTTGTGTGTTCATTGAATGGGTGGTAAACAGTATCGACTGCCACTGAGCAGCAGCAGGACTCCACTGCTATCGCCAGGAAGCTGCAGACGGTGAGCCTAGGGAGTGACATTTGGAGCTTGAATTAGCTGGAACATCATCTCAAGATTCATCCCAGGACCCTCTTTAACCCCACATCCTTTGCAGTATGGTGTCTGTAGGAGGATAGGTCCCTCTGCGTTTGCACGTTATTTAAGAGGACTTATGCTGTGTACATGGCAATGAGAAATAGCAACATTAGTTTCTGAGGGAGACCACAAGAGAAAGACTGCATTTATAGCGGTTGTTAGAAACTGTTTAAATTCTTAGTAATCAATTGCTGAATAATTGAACCACAACCCACATTTTGATTAAACTAGGTCAAATTTAAGTTTGGGTTGCTTCAGTTTTGGTAAAGTGGGCTGGTGTAGCAAAGAACCACGACAAGCGCTGCTAACCCGAGCGCACGAGGCTGTGGTGTTCATTCTAAGTGTGCTTACTTGGTCAAAACAGCATTCTGGCACTGCTGTACTTTAGGAAGGAATGGGGTCAATATCCTCAGGAAACTCTAAAGCTCCAAGTTTGTGCTCAGATTAATCGAGCCACTTAACACTTTCCTTTGCTTCAATGTCCTCATCTAAAAATGTGGGCATATTGCTAAGCCCCACATCCTGACGATGTTGTAAGGATAAATGAGATAATACATCCAATGCTTAACAGAAAACCAGGCACATGGTAAGGGCCTGAATAAATAGTAGCTATTATTTCAGTCAAGGAAATTGTCAATATAGTTATTTTTCAGAAAAGACAAAGGAGAATAAAGGCTCAGGTAATGTTCCCAAGGCACCAGGGGAACAGATGCAATGACACCATGACGCCTGGCACATGGAAGGTACCTCACCACTTCCCTGATGGGTGGTCTGTCCCAGGCAAGAACTCAGAAGCAGAGAACCTGCTGATGTGGGAACACTGACCATATGTGAATGGAGCACATGGGGAGTGGAAGGAGGCAGGTTCTGACGGTTTTGGCAGGTCAGTAAGAGTTCATCAAACAAGAATGAGACCTAAGAGGTAAACGGGGGTGGCGTCAGGGAAGTGCAAAGGAAGAAAACATGTTTTGAGATGCTTATTGGGGGAGGGAGGGCAGCATAAAACGTGTGTGAGTATGCCGAGTGGGTAGGATATGTGAGGTTTGAAACCAGGTAAGGTGGAAAGTGGTGGACAACCCAAGAGAATGAGGTACACAGGGACATATTGTATTTTGCTTTGTTATTTTGATCAGAATGTATAAGTTGGAATCTGAAGATGAGAAAACCAGGGATATATTCTTGTAGTTTAGTAAAAATTACTGTAAAAGAAGCCTGTGCACATAAATTGCTTGTAAAAGAAATATCTAAAAAAAGTCTGTACATAACTCAACTTTTAGAAGTGCTAAACAAGGACCATTCTCTGCTTCTTCTGATAGATCGCTGCATTGATTAGACAGCATCCTTACACTCACCCAGACCCAGGACTACTCTGTCAATCAATCATTTCAATGACAGAATTCAGCCCCTTCATGATGGCGCCACTGGCTTCAAGTGATGAGCCCCGCACAGCTCAGGTCCAACTCTGAACCTGAATGTCCTTAGGTGTAGCAGAATGCTTTCATCTGTGGCAAAAGTTATAACTGAATATATCTCAAATTCCCTGAATTGAATTATGTGTTGATCAAATTATTGTAAATCTCAGCTTGAGAACTATACTATCAACATCCTCAATTTGTTAATATTTTAAGATTTTTTATTTTATTTAAAAATTGGAGTAATTGTTATCTCTGTTAGCTTCAAACATTCTGTACCGAGACACCTAATTCTTAGCTCAGACCACGTTGCACACTGCGTCCGACAGTGCGTCTCGTCACCCTGACAAGTCGCTGTGCAGCCCGGGGCAAGGGAGAGCCACCGGTGGAAAAGACTGGGTCTCTGAAGGGTCACCTGGAGGACTCTGACTTGAAGATTTGCCCAGGAACTTACAGGAGCAGGAAATCAACTTCCATTTTGTTAAAATTCTGACATCTAAAATTTCTTAATTAAACAATTCAGTTAGAATAACACATTTGTACTGATACCTCTGATTTATTAACTCAAATAACAACATCCTGCCTCCCTTTCTTCCCAAAACAACAGAACAGTTAGAACAAAATGGTTATGACTATTAACTAAGTGCCATTTATTTTTCTGGCTTTTAAACATATTATCTTATTTCAGTTTTATAAGAGTCTTAATATATAGGAATTTTAAATCCTCATTTAAAAGATAAGGAGGTGGGGAGATTGAGGCACAGAGCGGGGGAAACATTTTGCCTATGATCAGACAGCTGTCAAGTGGCTAAGTTTGGGACCTAGGTTGTTTGGACTAAAAAGCTATACTTCCATCTGTGAGTTTTTAACTCTTCACCACTTTTGCATGCAAATTACATGGTGTGCTTATGGTAGAGACTGTTTCTTGTTTACTAAAATCCACTTCCTCTTCTTACTGGCACCACAGCTGCACTGTGCTTCCCTCTTTCTCTTGCAGGCAGGGGTGGCCTACTCACTGAATTCTCCTTAACAGAGTGAGAGAAAAAGAGAAAATCCATGCTCCTCCTAGCTGGCCCATTGCAACAGCCCACATGTGTTTCTTCACGCTATTTCTCCTTCTATTGGGTGGAAGCAAATAACAATGAAACCATAGGGTATGGGGGAGCCACAGGTGGAAAGAGTCTAGGTTGCTAAATGACTGCATGAAGAGTGGCCTTCCCACCAAACTCCCTCTGAACCATTTTGTGGGCGAGAAGTTCCTTTCTATTGTGCCAAGCTACTGGCATTTTTGAATCTGTTACTACAACCTGTCTTACCTTAGCTAATACAAAGAAAAATAGTTTCCTGACCTGTACTCCAGATCTCCTAGGTCAGACTCTCTTGGATGAAGCCTAAGTATCTACAATCTTTTTTAAAGTTCTCCCTTCTTATGCTGATGTATCTATCTGGTCTTTAACAATAATGTACTTGTTCTAAAACTGACTTTTCCCTTTACCCAGCTAAATCCTTCTAGTTGGATATTTTAGGAGAAGCTTTTTCCATTTTTCAGTTTTGCCTGAATTTTTTAAAAAGTTGTAGGCCAACAGTTTTTATTGATTCAGAATAAGCTTCACTTATTTTTGTATTTTCTTTAAAATTCAATCCATTTATCCCAGAGAATTCAAGATGTGTTTCTCATGATCAGAAGTTCAGTTTATCTATTTCCTTCCTTCTTTTCTCCCCCTGTCCCTCCCTCCCTATCTGCCTGTCATCTGTCTTCTACCCATCTGCTCATCCATCTATCTTTCTACCTATCTCAGCAAAATAGCTTTTCCCAAATTATGTTCCTTCAATTTTATTTTATAGATATAGGATTTTTGCATTGTACGGTTCCTTGGAAATAACATGCAGCAATCATAACACAAGAGTTCAGCAGCTGTTCATGCATTTTATTAATTTCTTTGGAACTGTGATTCATTTCCAAATCTTAGGGGAGGGGAAGTGTTTTTAGATATGGTAAGACCGCCTCCAGCTATTTTTGTAGTTTACAGTTGAGATCTTATTTTCTTACATTATGACACCAATTATTTAATGTTCTTTTCTGACTGAAATTGATTATTGAAACTCAACACAGTGATAAGTTTCATCTCTTCATCAAATGCCTTGAGTGTTTCTAATAGGATGATGCTGTTATTTATTAAGAAATATATGAAGAAAGCCTTTTATATATTTAGTCCATTGATATTAGTAGAGAGCCATATGTAAGGATAGCTAATGTTTTATAGTGTGTTTACTGCATCCAGAAGCCTTTCTAGGGACTTTGCATAAATCAAATTCTTTAATCCTCAAAATAATCCTATGAGTTGAGGACTATGTTTATTGCCATTTCATAATGTGGAAATTGAGGCATGGATGCATGAAGGGATACACCCAAGGTCACACAGCAAGTAGGTGGCAGTGTTGGGACATGAACCCATGTGGCCTGGCTTTAGGCTCTATGCCTTTAACCATTACATACACTCTCTATTTTAATAGGCAAATATTGAGTTCATATGATTTTTCTTACCACTCTGTAGGTGCATTATTTTTCTATTGCTTCATTTTGGCAAACTTTGGAGCTTAAAATCACATCCACTGTTATCTCACCGGTTTTGTGGGTCAGGATCCAGACTGGGTGCAGCAGGGTCCTCTGTTCAGTGTGTCTCAAAGCTGTGGTCAAGGTAGTAGCCAGGTCTGGGGTCTCATTTGAGTTTCAAATCCCTCTTCCAAGCTCATTTAATTGTTGCAAGAATTGACTTCCTTGCAGCTATAGGACTTGTTATGGCAGCTTGCTTCTTCAAAGCCAGCAAAAGAAATCTCTTTCTGATCTCTGTGAAGTTCAAAACCCTCCTTTAGAGAGCTTCCAACTGATTGAGATTCACCTTGGAAAACCTCCTTTTTGATGAGTCTTTCAACCAACTTTGGACCTTAGTTACATCTGTACAATTCCTTCACTCTTGCCGTATAATGTAATCTAATCAAAGATGTAACCTAATTGTAGGAACACCAGTGGCAGAGTTCATGGGGCCGTCTTAGAATCCTGCCCACCACAAAGGCAATGGCTGTGTCTGATCCCTTCTTCCACGCGTCAAGGAGATGGACAGATACTATCATACTTCTACAATGAGGTAATGTTTCCGTTGGGACTTTACTCATCAATCTCATGTATAAAAACATCAAGGATTTGTTAAAAGAAGTTTTAAACATAAAATTTTTCTTCTTTAACCTCTTTCTAGAACTCTTTTCACAATGAAATTAATTTTTGTAATTAATTGTGAATTGACTCTGCTGATTAGTTTTCCAGGTCATTTCTTAAAGTCACCTAGTCACTTTTGTCTTATGAGCGCTTACTGGGCAAAACTGGAACTCCACAGTGTGGCAAATCAAGATTCCCGCCGCACAAACCAAACATACCATGTTGCCCTCAACCCATGTCACTGCCTTCTCCTCCCGTTGTTCTACTCCAAGTCCCTTTCATGCCTCTGGATCTCTACACAAGAC